AATCTGGAGAAAAGATGAATCGAAAAAAGTAAAGATATACTACAAAAAAGACAAATAAGTGAAAGAAAAACATGGAGAGCCTAAATGTGATAAACTTTGTGTGATAGGTCAAGTGTGTTTACCCAAACAAGATTGGGCGAGAACACCTTGAACCGAATATCCACGAAAGAATGCATACGTAAACTATCCAAAACTTGACATTCAAGCGTGTATGTTTGTTATGGAGTCAAGAACACTCTTAAGATGGTGCATCCCACTTGATTTATTACATATTGGGGGATTCTAAAAAATACTCTCAACCAAAAAGAGTCGTATTTGCATTTAAAGTAATGACTTGCAAGGGGTTGTCAAAAGGGATGACTATCTCATAGGAAACATCACACAACTTCGAGGCCAAACTAGGCAGTAAGGGTCGGGGACAAATCGTTGTATCTCAAACAAGCATTGACCTATCATCCAAGTGAGGTACGCCAAATGACATCAACAAAGGAGAAACATGAATCAAAGAGGGTAGAAAATGAAGGGTAGAGTGATCCCAATTAGATAGAGATAGTTGAGTCAAGATACCACTGATCAGTCATCACAATCTATTAAGACCTTAAGTCTATCTGGATGTGAAGGTAGTCGACGCAACACAACCAGAGACCCTCTTGCCAACAATCTGTGAAGTTAATCATCCAAGAAGACCTCGTTAACTCTAAGGTTAAGAGAAATAAACTCTAATCCTATGACCCTATGTAGGAACACCCTATGTAGGAAGAACAGAGGTGAGACTTATATTTGCCAAAGTAGTGAGGATGTCATTGGAGTGGAAACAAAAGAGAGGTACAACTAACAAAACGGCAATGCTCTCACAAAGGATTTACTCCCTTTCTAGTTCAAGGAAGCCACTAATACTCTAAATGCACTAGGCAACCACGAAGTAAAATTATATGTTGGGTCGGTCGGGTTAAAGAAGCACGAGGATTTCTCGTCGGGACATGCAGAATGATGCAGTTATCTATTCAAGTCCTAAGCATGGAACCCCTTTTAGAATGAATTGGATGATATTCATGTTATGCAACCCATTTAAAATGTCGTCCGAATTTCATGCAGAAAAGTAAATATAGATTATGAAAATTCTGAATATTTTAAGCCTAAATTTTAATTAGTCTAAAAATTTTATTATTAAACTTTTGTAGAAAGTTTATAAGATTTTAGGTTCTAAAAAGCCTAAATGATTCACACGTTTGCCGAATAAAATCATAGGGTAAATAGGGTGAAACCAATTTTAAGCACAGAAGCATGCAAGAAAAAAATAAAGCAAGCAAATACAAAATAAGAAAAGGTTATGTGTCACTGGGTCGACAACATATCTAAAAACAAAAAAAAAAAATCGACCAGGCACCGCATAAGTGCATATATGGTCCTAATTATATACATCAATAAAATTTAGAATTAAGGCGACACATGCGTCAGAATGACCCTGTACATATTGAAGTTACTCCGGAGCTCGTTACACAGAGGCAGCCAAAGGCCATACTTAAATTGGTCTCGATCTGGATCCCTACCCAAGTCTTTCATTGCTCCCACCGACCCTGGCATCCCCGGAAGAGTAATGTTGTCGTGAAGGACATACTTCCTCTGCAACTTCTTCACACCGCCGTTCATCAGGAATGAAGGGTCGACACCTATGATAGAGCCAAAGAAAGTGGGGGAATATTTGGTAGTCATCTCAGAGAGACAAAGTCGAACGTAATACGAAAGGAGAAGAAAAAACTAAAGGTACATAAAAATAAATTAGAATGTGTAAAGTAAAAAAAAAAAAAAGAACCTTCACCCAATTTATTGGGCAGACACATAAAATGAAACGTCACATAATGATAAGTGTCACGCCAACCACCATTTTGAATATAGTAATGACCATTTTATCACAAATAACATTATACAGGTCTTGAATAAATTTTGTTATGAAAGGATCCTCCATGGCCTCAGTCGAGACATTCCCTATCTGAGTCAACCTTTAGAGGATCATCGCTCCACCTAACCTAGTCCACTCGGTTAGCCTGCATTGAAAGTTGCTCAGATTGGCAACTCGCGAAGCACTCCTGGTTTACATAGTGCCTTGGTTAGCCCGCTTCTCAAGATGACGACCTCCACCCACGGAGTTGATACATCCGAGTCTATGGTTGCCAGGTGGACTGCTAACTCCCGTAAATAATCCACGACCGACCTCCAACTGCTACCTCCAAAAAACTGACCCACCGCCAAGGGTATGATTCTGCATATCTACTGCTTCATGGATCTGGGAGAAGGCAGCCACCGGTTTACTCACTTCTGTTAAGAGGCAATAACGGGCAAAGGTTTGGGCAATCGATGCCCCACAATTGAAGCGGACTTCACGACATCCTTCGAAGGCCCACCATCTTTACGCCCCTCCAATTTAACTAATTAATGTGCATTGGGACAACGTAAGAAATAAAAGAAAGCTTTACATACCCATAAATCTATCCATCAAGAAAGGGCCTTCAAAAGTTTTTCTCTCTTTTGAAATAAGGTCCCTCCGCCTCTAGGCAATGGCGACTGAAGAGAGATGATGGTCGTTGCTCCCTCCAACTCCCTTCTGCCATCCCAACACAACCACAAGCAAGACTTGCTAGCCCTTGGCAATCATATTCACATCGGGCTCAGACGTAAGAGTTTCCCGATGAAGCTTTTTCAACGATCTTTCCTTAGCACAATCAGACGAGTCGACTAAGTCGATCAGATCAAGTTCAGGCCTCAACCATTGTCCTTTCCTCACACTCTTCTTCTTATTTATAGAGGTTGAGGCCCAAAAGCCAGCATTGGCCATAATTATGGGGTCTACGCCGAACTGGCTCTTACCATCAACCATGACGTACCTCGACTAATTGGGGAAAAGTGATAGCTATGGATGCAACGCCAAGTCCATGACGTTATTAATAGAGCTTACCAGGCATGGAACCCAAAAGGAAATAAGTTGTTCAAATCAATTCTTGATTTTGATGTCACTGATTGTTTAATAATTTCTCTTTTCTTATCGTAGCTATCACTATCAAAGAGCAGGAAATTTTGGAGAAATAATATGTATACACTAATATTGTCGACACAAATCTCAAAGTAATCATTTGGCTAAGGATGATGACACAACAACCAAATCATTAAATTCAAAAAACATGGTATAAACCTATCATGTGAAAGGTCAACAGACTGATCAAGTCCACCCTCGGAGAATCTGGTCGACGGGTTTATCTATGGTTAAAAACACCGAAGCTCCCTAAAGGCCAACCGACCAACCGCTCAAACCTCAACAAATCGATCCCCACGATTCTTGACACTTTGGTCGACCAGAACATGTCGACCGATTGATTGTCACCATATCTGAATTTAAATTGTAATATAAATTTAGTATTAAATCATTGATTGCATTAGGAGCTATTTCCCTAATCGCTCTCTCCCTTCTGTAATTATACAAGAAGTCCTCCTATAAATAAGAGACTCGTCGATGAACAAAGAATCCTGGGCCTGAGTACATTTTCCCCACCTCTCTATTGATAATTCACTAGCATTTTTCCTCTCTCTCTACATTTTCTTCTCTCGTTTCTAACTCTCAACGTGTATATTTCCAAAGAACAATTTCATATTCAACAAAAGCATTCCACCCTGTGAAGAGTTAGATGTAAGAAAAAAACTAAATTAAATTAAATTAAAAAAAAGCCATTTTTTTTTTCATATTTGAGTATTTGTTGGCACACTTTTTTCTTATTTGCAGAATCTCAATGACTTTTATCATAAACGTTAGAAGAACCCTATTAGGTGTAAGTATAATTTCTTGAATGTGATAACTTTAGAAACTAAAGAAGCTCAAGCACTATGATGCCCGGCCTTCTTCTCCCCCATCAAAAAGCTTTTCTTGCATGCCAAATTACTTATTATTAGAGCTGCTAATAATTATATAATACATGAGTTGATTATTTATCTTAATTTTTATTTTATTTTATGAGTGCCAATGATAAAAAATTACTTGTTCTTAGTTCAGTGAATTCAAAAACTATTTCTGAAATGTGTTTATGTCTTTTCCTTCTGAATCCATATTGTTAGAAAATTCAAACTGCATATGATTTTTTGTTTAATGCTGTTCCATTTTCAGTGTTTTTCTTTTCTTTTTGTTTAATCAAACTTTAAGAATACTATATATAAATCCAGCAGCAAGAAGACCACTCTCGTGCATGGAAGCCATGTGAGCTCTGCAACTTAGCTCAGGCAAAAAGCATTCCTACCTTCCTTTTCTTATTTATTTAAATTTATTTATTTATTTTATTTGAATTTATTTATTTATTGTTGGAAGGCTTTCATCTTCCTGAGTTATATCTGGTAGAAATGCAGCCCTTTCAAGTGGCCAAAAAGCTTGAGCAAAGGCAAGCACTGTGCCATTAGCAATGGGGACCTCTCACTGATTCTTGAGCTGATTGTTACTCAGCTTTACAGCAAATACAAATTCTTTATGTTTGAAAGCTGTTTTTTGGGAGAACACTAATTTTTTTTTTTTTAATGAGTTTAATAAGATAATTAACTTTTTTTTTTTTTTACAATAATGATGCTTTTATTTTGCCAAAAAAAAAAACTATAAAATAAGTATATATATGCAACACTACAATACTATAAAGAGGGACTTGCTTGCTATATTTGCTCTTGGTTTGCAAAAATGAATGAGCATTTAATTCTCAAGTGCAAAAAGCCACAAATTGGTCTGATTTTTCCTAAAAATTATGCCAAGAAGAAGAGGTCTTCTAACATAGAATTTGAACTTAAAGTAAGAGAAAAAAAAATTTAAAATTTAAATAAGATATTATTTTTTTTATAATATACATAATTGCATGAAAATTCAAAGATAATATTTTTATATTACATATAATAATATAGGTTTATTTATTAAATTTCATGACTAATCTCCATTACTACTTTCATTCAAGAACATATGCTGACCCTAATATAACATAAAAACAAAATACAAATGCAACATTTATTAATTTCTACTACAACTTTTGTCCTAATTATAAAATTACCATACAAGAAAATACTAAACCATCAAAGCCCACTGAGTTGTTCCTCTAACTGATCCTTCACATTCAAACCCCTGGTGAAGCCCATTCTCATCTGTCAATTAAAATACAAAAGCATCATGATTAAATATTTTGAAAATTTTGAAAAAAATAATTTTCAAAATGTGTTAAAAATCTCTCTTTTAAATTATGTATATAATTGATACAATTATATTTCAGTAAATTTTGATCTGCAACGAGAGAAAAACATACCATTTACCAGTTTCAGCCGCACTGGCCGCAATAGCTAATCTTCCTCTCACGCTGCGACTTCTTCTTCTCCGGCGACAGCAACTAATCTCCTCGAACACAACCAGACTGAGCCCTTCAAAAAAGGTTACTTTTTGGCCCTCGGCGTAGCGCCTCACCACTCTTCTCCTGCACACCTTAGGTTTCTTCGGCGCCGGCGGGCAATGAACCGCCGCCGGAATTCTGCTCTCCGGCGAGGAGGGTGTGCAGTATCCACCTTTTTTATCATCATCATCAGCAGCCATTGCGGCCACCGCCTCCTGCTCTTCACCAAGCAAGTTGGAAGAGGAGGAAGACGAGCAAGATAAAGAGGCCATCAAATTTGCTTCTTTGCCATTCTTAACAGAGAAGTCTTGCTGTGTTTCTAAGCTGGATTGTGAGATATGTTGGTTTTTGGGAAGATTGGCGTTGTTTTGGCGGAGGAAGAGTGGAGATGGAGACATGGTTTTGCAGAGAGGTTTAGCGAAGGCAGGAAGAGAGAGCGAGAGAGAGACCAAAGGAATGTATTTGAAGAGGTGTGACAATATGAGAACGGAGACTCTGTAGTTTTGTATAATTGGAGGCTCGGATTCCTCACTGCCTTTGTGTTTGAATCTGATCGTTTCCAAGGCGAGCCTTTTAGGAGGGGCCTTTATGCAAAATAAATAAATAAATAAATAAATAAATAAATAAATAAATAAATTTATATTTTGTTTAATATGATTTAAAATTAATTGATATTGGCATTGCAAATTTGTGAGTATTAACATTGCAAAATTTAAATAAAGGACTGATGTAACTAATTAAGTATTCATTTTAGCAATATTTGGCTCAATTTTGATAGGTAAATTATTTGAGTTAGAGTTGCATTTTTCATGGTATTATACTTACTCAAGTATGATAAAATTCATTATATTTGATATAAAACCTCAAACAAAAAGTATTGAAATTAATAAATTGTACGCAAAAATATTATCCTCATAATTTCTTACCTTGATTGTAGTATTGTTAAATCAAATTGTATTTAAGCCCATAATAGCTTTAATAAATGTTGTATATAATATTACACTTTTTATCCAATGAGTGTATTTATTTATTATTTTATTCAAAAACTTTAAAATAGAACTATATATATATATATATATATATATATAATAAGGGAATCACTCTCTTCTTTAGGGTTGGTAAACTTAATATATGGTTAACATTTATTGAATTTTATTTCCCTAAATAATTGGGCTAAATGATTTATTGATGGTAGTTAAAAGTGTTTATATATGAATTATTACTCACATATCTTGCATTATACTAAATAAGATTCAAAACTTTACAATGAATTCTTCCTATACTTGTAAATTTATAAAGAACATTTCCAATATAGGTGAATTATATATATATAAATAATAATAAATATTACATATCTAGTAATTTAAGCTAGAAATGAAAAATAAAAAAAATAATTATTATTATGAAACTCCAACTGACAAATGCAATGAATATTTTATTTTCCTTTTTTGCAAAACATAATTAATAATTGAGTCCTCCACAAGCTGTGAAGATTAGGTTGATGTCGTCTGTGGGCGCCCTAAAGATCCTCTTTTTGAAACAATCACATGCAAAAGGAAAAGGAGAGAGCCCTACTCCCTTTGCATCTTTAATTCACACCTACAAACAGCATAAACACATACCAGCCTTTGGGATCAGGTTTATCATACATTTATCTTTGTCCTCTGATTGATTAAGGTGTTAATTATGGATTAAATACCTTAATTAATTCATTTTTAGTATTCTTTCCTCTTAGGCTCACTTGAACGTACAATGGTAGCTATGTCAATTATAATAGTTCAATAATACATTTGAAATGCATCAATCAATTATCATGTGTGGCTTAATTAATATCATATGCATTTCATCTAGCTATTATTATTATTATTATTATTATTATTATTGTTATTTTATTCTTAATAACTCCCAACTTCATTCTCATCATTTGTTGTAGGTATTTTAAACTTATTTTATGATAAATATATTATTAATTCATCCCGATGTATTATCATTGTTGTTTCATTTTTTTTTTATCCTGAAAAAGAAGGGATAATTACATACAGATCATCAAAACATTGGTATTTACAAACTAAACACCAAGTGATTATTTTTTTTTTTTGAACTATTATACCTATGAATTTAAGTGTGTCATGATCGAACTATTGAGAATTTAATTAAAATGAAAAATATGGTTTGGGGTTTTACCATGAATTTGGATATCTGAGTGGGAATTTAAAAAAAATAGATGAAAGTGGGATGTTGATTCATAAAAAATATGTTTCGACTGGTATATACTTAATTGTCCCAAAAATAAACTATGGTGGTAGGGGCAAACATATGTTCAGAGTTTGTTTGGGACAACTGCATCTTATTAATAAGCTGTTGAAAAATAATTTGGTTTTTCAAAAAGTTGCGTTGGCAATTACAATTTTTTTTTTGAAAAAGTAAGACTCTAGCTAAAAAGCAGTCACCGCACCTAGTCAGGAACAGTGTAAAAACGCTAATTTTAGCAGTTTGAAAACGCAGTTTTTTGAAAAAGCTGTTGAAGCACAGTTTACCCAAACGGTCATGGGTGTGTTTTCAAAACACACCGCACCAAATAAGCTCCCCCAAACGGGGCCTCAAAGTAGGCATTTGTTCCCCTTAAATTTGAAATTTCTCTATCTCTCTCTCTCTCTCTCTCTCTCTATATCTCTTATCTTAAAGCATCATCATGATGCCCACCATTGCCCTTTAATCATCACATGAGAGACCAATAATCACATTTTAATTATATTTTAAATAAGTGTTAATTGCTTTTTATTATTATCATAATGGCCCACTAAACCTTTTTGGGTTCATTGCTCACCTCACCCTTTTGCATGCTTCATCATTCATCTCATCAGTTTCCTCACCTCCATAGCCTTATGGCCGCTAAGATATAGCAAGGAGCTTTTTTCTTATAAAAAGTATTCTTTTGTGGGGCTTAGCTTTGATTCTAAAGTTTGTAGACAAAATAATAGAGATTATTTGCTTGTGACTTAAAGATGTTCCCTTGTTTACATACATACCTCCTAATTCTTATGAATTTAGATATCTAACCCCTTAATTTTTCTTCTTATATTTATACCATCCCGATCGTTCATACTGTATCTAGATGTTCTAGTTTGAGAGGACTCCCTACAAGGAGGTCCTAAGAAATACACATTTTCATTCATAGATAATGTGACGTATTTATTATTAAAGTTTAGGTGTTAGATATGTACATACATAGAAATTGAGTAATGTTTATGTAAAAGTTTCACACAAATCTCTAATTGTGTGCCTACTAGTAGAACAGCTTCTCTGAAGTTTGCAAGTCCCCTCAGGTCACGGGTTCGAATCCCCACGTATGTAGGGATGGGCGTGGCTCGTTTAATAGGCTCCGACCATTCCTTTGCAAATGAAAATAAAAATAAAAATAATAAAGAATAAATAAATAAAATAATCATCATCTCTAATTCTTAAATTTGATTGGTTGAAGTTCAAAAAACATGTGCTGAAATTTAATGAATTGATATGATTTTATTATTTGAATTAAACATATATTGAAAATATGATATTTTCTTCATGTATAATTTATATTGAATAAAAATATAGATAATGTGGTATATATATATATTGAAGTTTAGGAGTTTGATATGTAAATACGTAGAAATTGAGTGGCATGTATGTAAATCTTTCTCAAATTCTTACATTTGATTGGTTGAAGTTGAAAAAAAAAATTCTTAAAATTAATTAATTGATAAGATTTTATCACTTGAATTAAACAAATTTTGAAAAAAATGAAATTTTCTTTCTCTGTATAATTAATATTTAACAAAATCTAATAATATTTTTAATACAAATGCTGACTTTGTCTGATCATCATGAATTATGGGGTTAATGCATGCTACTTAACCATATAGGGCCAATTCATAACTGAATCATCAATGTTTGATTTAGTTTAAAT